TTCCTGAAGGAGCCCAAGGCTGCCTCTTCCCCCCCGCGCGGCCGCCAAGGATTACCGCAGCGCACCGCACCTTCGCCGCGCACAGCCACAGCGTTCAGGGCAACAGCCACAACTTCAGCCGCCCAGCGCCGTATTAACTAGCGATTCACAGTAAGAATCGTTATTACTGGTGATTTATAAATAGAAAACGTCATCAGCGTTCACGCGAAGTGTTTTATGACTGGTTGCCAATATGTACGTTATAAGTAAAAACGTATACACACTTGGCCTTCAGGAGACGGAAACACCATGTTTCATGCTCATTTGAATATTTCAATCTAGAAATGGATCTATTTTAAGTTTAATATGATGTTGGTAAACTTTGATATTGCAAAATTGAGGTTGTCCTTGCTAGGCAGTTCAGTAATTACAAGTAACTTCATTATTATTATTACAAACTAAAGTATTGCAGCACTAAGAACCAATATATGGGCATATGGAAACAGCTTTGCTGCATAATCCCAGAAATGCAGAAGCAGCACAGCATAACAATTTCTATTTAGTCAAATTACTTGAGGAATTTGCAACAAGACTGCAAGCACCCTTTTCTTCAACACGAGAGACATGCACGCTTATTTTTACCGTGAGCTATCTGAAGGACCATTTGGCTCCCAGGTGCTGCACCTCTGGGAGCGATGTTCAGACACACCGGCAATGTCGTACCATCTCCAAATCCGTACTTCTCCCCAGATACTATTTGCACCAGCATGTCACCTTAAATACTTAGATTACTTGATCTATGACACTGTCCTTACAAGTGCTCAGAAAAGGAGTACATAAAAAAGAGGAAGAGGCTTTTCAATTAAGTAATTTGCTGATGAAAATTTGGAACAAAAAACATATGCATACCCGGTTAGAACAAGTATATTGCACTACAATAATACACTGTCAAAGGTGAGTTAAGCTGTGCTGAATATTGTTCAACTGGATGAAGGGAAAAGACTATCCAGGATAGAAAAAAGAGGAATGTTACCCACAAGACATATGAGGAAATCAGCTGGGTTTACTGATGGTTGACAAGGCCCCATTTGAAGTAGCACATCCTGGACATCACAGCTGAAGCAGGATATAAACCTGATGAGAAAGCCTAAAGACAACCAACCTAGAAAATACTACTCAGGAAAAAAAAAAAGTAAGGCTGCTCTGTTTGGTGTGGGTGGTTTTCGGTTGTGTTCCCCCCCCCCGAAAGGACTAGACTGAGAATATCCAAGTATCTTAGAAAGTCATTACAGAGATGGAGGGAATTAGCTGTGTTGTGTTTTTTTTTTTTTTACATTCACTACAGACAGTAAATTCCTCCTACATCAGGGAAGATTAGGTTGGATATTAAATCCTCTCACAAATAAGCATAGTGAAACAAAGTAAGAGACCACAAACTTTCTAATAGTTTAAAAAATGGTGAAACATAATGAGTGATGTAAGTGTAGCTGATCCTGCTTTTGAGAACATCAAAATGGACTACATGAACTTCTGATGCCTTTTTAAATCTTATCCCTAAGACTACAGAGATTCAAATAATTTGTCCTTTCAGTTTAGGCAAAAACAAGGGAGGTGTATTCTCAAAAATGTCAGGTTTTATATCTGCATATCCCTTGTGTACACCTTAGATATGGTGTTTTAGTCTTACAAAAAGCTACCATACAGATGCGCCTTTAACAAAACTAGATTTGAAAACAAAACCAAGACTGAGCTCAAACAGTCTTCTACAAGATCTTGATGGATGGAAAACTGAAGAACAACTCAGATAATTTTTCGCAGTATTTTCATATGCAGAATTTTGTAAGCAAATATGTTTCTTTTCCCCCCATCTACAGTACAATCAGACTGTTCTATAGTGGTAAGTCACAGTATGAAGCAGCCAAAATTAGGTTTAAAATTCCAATTTATCTGGTAACCACATCTTTAAGAGGCAGCTGCTCTCTCTCCCCTCCTCTCTACTCATGTCTTTGCTTTAATGATCAACTGCTGCTTCTGCCTCTTTGAAACTCTCTGCAAAGATTAAAATGGATATGAAGACTGCTGGTCCAACAGCACACAACTACTGTACTGGAACACAGCAGAGCAAAAAGGGAATGTTACTTTAGTTACAGTGCCATTTCCTATTTTATACATAAGCATGGCTTGAATAGTTGGATGTTCGTTAGCAAATTTTAGGTAATGGTTCAAGAGTCAACCACCCTGCATTGTTCCTCACTGAAGACAGTCAATGTGACAGGTTCGAAGGGGGAAGGGGATATTGCCCAGCTCACTAGGGATGAGCCCAGGCTTGGCATGCCAAGGCCAGGGGTGAGATTGACAGCCCAGCTCAAGTGTGTCTACACCAATGCACGTAGCATGGGCAATAAACAGGAGGAGCTGGAAGCCATTATACAGCAGGA